CCTTCCCTGTAGTCTTACACTGCTTAATTAGGGACGGCTAGCGCAGATAGCCCTCGTGTAGCTTTGCGAGCGAAATTCAAAAACATACAAACAAACAAACATAAACAGAAAGCTCTAAAACAATTCAGTAAGTTATCCACTGTATCTATATGGTATATAAGCATACCATACATGTTCTACTTCTTATCACTAAGCGAAATAGTATTTAGTATGTAGGGATGGGTTGAGGAAAAAAAAAGGCTGCCGCATTCAGGCTATTACTTTATGACGCTTTTAAATATCTGCTAAATTTCAGTTATTAGCCTAATTGCCAATATCGAGTGTTTCACAGCTTGTTAGACTCCCCACATCATTGAAAAGTGTTGCCAAAGTGGAGAACTGGGAACTAGTTAAAGAGCCAACGTGGTCATTTTATCTTTTCTCGCGCTAGCCAAAAAATGTAATGAAGTTTTCGCAATGGCTTTAATATGACAGAAAAACATTTTAAGACTACTTTGGAAAAGGCTATCAAAAAGCACGGTAGTGCTTAGTATAAGCTAAAAAAAATATCATAATTCTAGTGTAAACGATGTTATCATTACCCCTTGAAGTTAACTTTCTTACAGAAATCTAGTGTTCTTTTAAAGAGCTAAAGTACAGGGGGAAACCGGAATTACTTGCCAATAATAAATGAATATTAGATTACTGTAATATGTAGAATACTCAATGCTTTGTACACTATACAATCGGTGTTTTTAGGTAACCAACCCTTATATTATGTATGAAGAGAAGGAGTAAAAAAAATCAATACACATAATATTAAATTTTAATACACACATTCATAAAATACATTAACTTTTATTCAGGGGAAAAACGTCACAAAATAACTAATAAAAATATTCAAATATCCAGTTAATAGAAACCCTAACGGAAGCTCCTTCGGACGAGTGAATAGCATGTCGCCCATTCTATCAAGAAGACCCAGACTCGAATCCTGGCCATTAGCAGATTCTTAGCTGGGACATAGTTCATCCAACAGTTGAAAAAAAAATCATTAATGAATAGGCTTACCTGATCGTTTAGGCCTCTAGTCACGACAAAGATAAATATGTTATCATCACTGTGTTACCATAAGTACATAATAAAACTCGAAAATTATTATTAGATTACCCTCTGATTTAAATTATTTTGTTTCTCTAAAGTATTTTCTCATTTATTGGTGCTTTATACAAAATACTTCTAAAAATGAATTTCTTTAACATCTAATATATTGTTACGTCTCCGTTTGTTAATTAATTTTCCGTAACTTCGTTCCGACGAAACTTTAGCGACACAAGTCCTTACTTAATAAAACTGGTTTATTCTTTCCGAATACAACTTTACGATACACTTATTTTCAACAGTCGCGCTATAACAAACTATAATAACGACGTTAACTTCAACAATACGTCTCTCTCTGACTGCAGTTCAATTACTCATTACCTACACACATTATTGCGTCACGTTGTGACCATCTTATATATACCAGATTACCCTATATTTAGTAATCTCTCGAAGGTTCGAGAGAAGGAGTGGCGTGATAATAGTCACGTGACCTCGCTGACGCAACAATATATATATATATATGAAACGGTTATTTGGGTAGACAAACTTTAAAGAAAGACCTAATTTAGGTGGGTAACTGAAAAACAGGATCTGATAAATAACCGGAACCACTCTTTAACGACGTTCTTTCCTGTGTTTAAGTACGTTTCGTAACTGATGAGTCATTATAAGCTCTAAGGAGAAATCCTAGAGCTCTTATCCTGTGTTTGGTCAAGAGCGCAAACTGGAATTTAATGTTTAAGAATGTTTCACATGTGCATTTTGTAATTCCCAACGATAACACGATCTGTATAAGAGAAGTAATATATTTTAAAAATTACAATATTTCAGCAAAAAGTTTAAATCAACAGATGGTCCCATTTGTATCGATATATATATTTCTCAATATTATGCATATAATAATTATACTTTTAACTGTGTTGTATAAATCTAGCTAGAGTAAAGTTGAATACGTATGGGACCTGTAAACGGTATACGCTATCTTTACTTCTGACATATTATGTTTATTATTTTTACGAGACTGACCTGAATGCACAAACACATAATTCATCTTGAAGTATCAACCGATTTTGCACCCAGGGATAATGTAAAACAAAATGTGGAGGAATGTATATAGACTTAACCACTAGGTGGCTCTATACTCATATAACCACACTTCTGGTAACCCTAAGAGCTTGTTCTTATTAAGGAGACGAGAGAAAGTACTTACTGATAAACAAAGCTAGTTTCAAATCAGTAGAGATCGAAGATGACGCTTTTCTTTAAACTGTAATATAGTTCCAGTTTTTGTGAATAAGAGTGAGCTAACTACGGTAATTTTGGAGCAGAACTAATCTTTAAATGACTTCATAAAAAGACTGAAGTTTCTAGGAAGACGACAACAACTTCAGTTAAATGTCCGTTATTTAGTTATTATTCTTACGTTTAGGCCTATGCCATTCCGAGAGTCTTTGAGCGCCACAGGTTACAAAACATAAAAATAATAATATATATATATATATATATATACACAGCGTGGTCACAAGTAAATAGACACC